CGCGACTTGTTGCTTGGTGCGTTCCGACCTTAACGAACTATTTTATCTGTAAATCTGTCTGTCAAAAACGCGATAAATTTTTGAAAATTTTACTAAGCCAATCCAACTTGTCCTTACAAGCGAAAAAGCCCTTTACGTTTCGCCGACCGTCGTCCAATTGGTTTGTGAGTCCGTTACGCTGTTAGCATGCTAACAATCCCGTTGATCTTATTTCTTGTGTGTCTTCCCTATTCATGAACATGCTGTTTCCTTTTCTTTTTTTGACACTCAACTGAAAATTGCTCTGAAGCGAGCCACCAAACAGTGGCTTCTTCAAACCCTCCAATAGTATTTTGATATACCAACCGAAAGGACAGATAACGTCTGGTATCAACTGATGTGAGAAGTTACCAAGAACTGATAGGTCATGTGTTGTCGTTGAGTAGGTGGTTGGCAAAAATAATTCTTTATTTAAAAGTATGTATTGTAATTTGTATTGGAATTTGAGTTATTAATCGCATCTTATAACGCCCCCTCACCCTGAGATAATTAAGTGAGTTTATATCAACTTTTTAAGTTCTAAGGTTTGGTTAAATAGACTTTTTCACTTCTGGGTTTAGTACGGTAGGTTTTAGTTAATTGCGAAGACACAACGGTTTATTGTTCTACTTTCAGCTTTAGCCAGTTCCTTTTGAAGTAAATTAGATACTTCCCTTCTTAAAAGTTAGGTATAGATGCAATACTGTCGTCTTTACGAAAATTCCTTAAACAACACAAGGGGGGAGTATAACAAACTTTGCTTCTTGTCGTCGAAAGTCAGAATGCAGCACATGAATAGTCTGATGTAATTTTGACCTTCTGTAGAACACAATTTTCATTTTTTTTCTTCTCTTATTACGTTCCGTTAGGCTTTCTTTGGGTTATTGTTACCAGAAATCTTTAAAGTCAATCTTTGCGCTCCGTATGGCTCTTGGGAGATGAGTACATACTTATATTCGCTCATTAGCGAAAAAGATGTTGAAATATTATTATCCTTAACGAATAACTTATTAAGTAGGGAGTGCGCTTGTACCCATCAGAAGTGTTAAAGCTCAGTATGTCAGAATCCAAAGGAAATCTTTCCATTAAAGAGCGCATTTCGATTGGGTGTCGTAAAACCAAAATCCGTTTAATCAGATCGAAGAATTAAATAAAAGCACCAAAGCGCTAGTTGTGTTTGTTTGAGCATCTTTGAAGGTTGAAAGGATGGCGCAAATTTTAATAAACATACACTAAACTTAGTAAAACAAACCCATTGCAACCCCGAATTAGTCTTGACACTCGATTGAAAATGGCTCTGAATGGCTAGATTACAATTCGAAAGGGTTTCTCGAGATTATTTTTGCGATCTCTCCACTTAAGACCTGTCTGAATCGGAGTTGCGATATGAAGGGAAGATTATTAACGTTATCTTGCGTAACTGTGACATCAAGCCATGTTACATCTTGAAAGAATCGCACCGAATAATGTCCATCTAACCGTAATTTTAAAATTTAGAATGCGAAGAAATTTTGATTTAGGCGTGTGTGATGCCGATTTATATTGTAGCTTATTTTAAATACTGATTTCTCACTGCATATCACGGTGGTAACATTATCACGAGTGTATGGAAAGATTATTTATTTGAATACAAATTCTTCAGTTTTGTTATTGACTCAGTTTGTTGGTAAGTCCTGTATCGGTTTTGTGACAGATTGAGATGGAAAGCACACGCTAAGCTGTTTAATTTGATGAAAGATGGAATAGAATGGAAACAATTTTCACTGAAATACTCAGCATAGTTATGACGTTTGGTTTTGCGAGCCTTCTCGAAAACGCTCGCAAGACAACTATTTGAGCCACTTTACTACCTTCACTGAACAATTGGTCATATGATAAATATTTCCCGCGAGTAAAAAGTGGCAGAAATTTCATGGACGCCAGTTGAGCTAACTAAGTGAATGCCTTGTCTTCTACCCCAGTGTAACAAAAAGGATTACCGTTAAACATCTACAACAGTTCAGCGAGATACGCCGGAAATGTTGTTGTGTTCATTAATAGGTAGCACTCGACAAATCCTTTGCAGTCGACGATCGCATGTTTCAAGGGGCATCTTGCTGGAAGAGAAATGGTGCAACAACCTTTTTATCCCGGCTGGGTGTCTCTCCATGTGATCGCCACTTGCAAGGCATACATTAATTACAAGCGGCAAACAAGAACAAATTAGCTCGTTGGCATCGTTCCGATTGAATACGAATTGATTCTTTCACACAAATTTCTCAATATATTGTTAAAATCATTATTCTCTTGACCATACAAAAAGAAACGTAACCAAAAAGAAAAACGTAGAGCTGAAAAGTTCATGACGTTGATAATGAGGATGATGATACTGACAAATTTGAAACTAGCTGTTAACTCAAGAATCAGAAAATTAAGTTATTACGTTTGAAGGAAAAGTGTTACCTGGTCTGATGCTGATGAGAACAAAAATCAAAAGGGAATTTTTCCCCATTTTTATTTATCCTAAAAATCTCAATCAGTATTTAATCATTCCCGAACATTTTGTCAAAAATTTACTCATGTTTTGGTCTGTGATCTGCTTTATCAATACCACTATCGGTTTCTTTATCGTGATTGATTGCAAGACAGATGTTCCCCGTCCCGTGAAAATTTGAAACGAGTCGGGGAGAGGTTTGCCGTGGATCTGGCACTAATAATCAATTCTTGACTGTCCCTTGCAGACCTCGCGGGCTCACTGGTTTTAAGCTTTCCCGCGGGCAAAGAAACACTGGTGCCGAAGCGTTAACAATGACGAGCAACTGCTTGCAGGCTACAACACTAGTAACTTACGGGTCGTCCATGTATCTAAATGTTTCATTCAGTGCCACAGCTCCCAAAAAAAGGTACTTTGAAAGTAAACAAAAATGATAAAAAAAACACGAGGCGTTAAAATACAAATCCCAGACACCATTTTTTAGATCTAGATCTAGATCTAGATCTTTTAGATTTTTGGAGCCTCACTAAAAACCTTTCAGACGTTTCTATTGGTCCATGCCAAGTGGCTAATATTCAATGACAGCGTTGTTTACGAGGTTTTAGTGATAATTTGGTTCTCTCGTGAAGTCGAACCGTTTAAGACCACTACGACATTCTGAGCGCCATGGAACGGAAAAATTGTTATGTTTCATCGACTATCAACACTGCCTCTGAGGGTTACAAGCAAAGCTCTCGTACTGTGCAAAACGAGTCTGGTAAAATGTTCATAGAGACCGAAGTTCAACCCCAAGCCGGAGACACGATCTTAGACCTCGGTTGTGGCACAGGAGAGCTGTCTGCATATCTTGCCCAGCTTGTTGGAAACAGTGGAAAGGTTGTGGGTGTTGATCCTGACAAAGAACGCCTTGAACTTGCTAAAAGATCACACAGTAATATCGACAATCTTTCGTTTATCGAGGGGAGCTCTTCAAACTTCCCTGGTATGGGCTCAGAATCCTACGACATTATCTTCAGCAACTACGTGCTGCACTGGATCCCAGACAAATCCAATGCGTTTCGGAATATGTACGCTAGCCTGAAGCGGAGTGGTCATGCCAAAATTGCAGCTCAGTACGGCAGCTATTTATTCCCATTCATAACAAGCGCCTTTAAGGAACTGAATCCAGAAAATGCCGAACATCTACTTGGTATGTTCAATTTTGAAGCGAGGTCAGCGATCGAGCAATATTGTTCAGCAGCCGGGTTTAGCATTGTCAAAAGTTATGATGCTCAGATCGCACAATATGTGTTTGAAAGCACTGAGGCGCTTTTGAAGTGGCTTTGGTCCTCTACACATGGTGCTTTTGATCCTTCGCTAGTAACCGAAGATCGCCTACAGAATTATTATCCATACTCAAGTCGAAATGGTCAACCTCCATTTGACTTCAGCGGAATTGAAGAGGAGTCAACTATTTGTCGATTGGTGGCCAACAA